TTTTTCCAGGATTTCAAAAGAACAACTTTTTTTAAAATAAATATTTATAATAATGAAAAATTCCTTTTGATCAAACTAATGCATTTTTGGTGAATAAAAGTAAAAACTGGAAAAACAACCTTCCTCACTCCAAATGTTTGAACAGTGGTGTATATGGACACTATATTTAGCAAAAAATATTCTCTTATATAGGTAAAAATGACTTTTGAAAATACATTTCAGGGGTCAAATAAAAATAAACATGCAAAGTGGTTAGAAATGTTCATCTATCATAGTACACTATGCATGTGCATGAGAATGCATTTGCATTACCATGTTATGCAGCTGTGTTTTCTCTGTGTGAAGTTGTAAATCTCTGGTCTGCAATTTAACAAGCAGCATGAAGACCTTTTGTCTCCAAACACTCAACATCTGCCCAGCTTTACTGCCAGAGTACAATGGGTCAGTCTGCACCTACACACATAATAAAATACCACTAAATTTATTAATGAATTCATATCTGTCAAAATGCATTGGTCATTCATTTCAAATACTACATATGCATGTCTGCATGTGTGTAATCTCACCTGTTCACCTAGCTCTTTCTCCTGAATAGCCAAAATGTCATTGGCTGCGTTAACTCGAACATTCAGCAGCTGGACTGATAAAGACAGGGCTTCCTTTTCCTTCTTTAAATGCTATACACACATAGTCATAAAATAATTACATTCATACATTGTTTAAAGGACCACAACTGATGCACTAATTGCAATTCAGCAGACTGTGTTTACACACCTGTATTTGTCGTCTAAGCTCTTCCTCTTCCTTTTTCTCTGTGATGTGGCTGCCAATGTATGTCCGCAGTTTCTGCACACACTCAGACTGTTCCAGCAATGAGCTGTTCAGGACACTGCACAAATACAAATCACGTGATATCACATAAACAGACCTGTAGATGATTTGTCATTTAGAGACAGCAGCAGCAGCAACATTTGTTTTCTTATACTCACCTCAGTTGATTTCTCAGCTCATCTCTCTCTGATATCACTTCCTGTATTTGGGTCCTCAGTAAGGTCACTTCCTGTGCAGCATCGGTCATGACATTCTGATATTCAAAGTGGTTGAAAATAAGATATAAAAATATATCACATACACCATTACAATGAATCAGCAAGTCATACAAAAAAGAAAAATGTAGGACAGAAAGATTAAATATCAGTTTTATCTCTCTTAGACAAATTAAAAAGTCAAAAAATGCATGAATCATTCACAATAAGATCAATAACATGCATTTAGAAAAGACAGATAAATTAATAGGGTGGACTGTAATTTCATGCCGACATTTAAAGGTGCACTAGGGAAAATTTCTGGGTTAAAAATGAACAACAAAATCAATTACTGAGCAAGTATATACAAAAAAAATTATAAAAGAAAAAATCAATGTTCAAAACTGTCTCCTTGCCTTATGATATCATACATTATTTGCATAATAACAATGTCAGGGTGGATTTCACGGGACAAGTCAGTTTTACGCCACTCATCTGTTCATTAGTAATGAGCTTTTTATTTATCTGAGCTACAGTATCATCCATTGTTGAAACTAAGAAACCTCATTAAGACAAATGGGAACAAAATATAGCAACTCTATTGTTAATTATGTCTTACCTGTGTCTCTAGTTTTTGTTGCAGTCTCCCCATCTCCTGCTTTGAGTCCTGTAACTCTTTCTCCAAATGTTGACATTTTAATTCATACTCTCTTTTCAGGGTTGAAAGCTAGACACACAAATTTAGGCTGTATTTAGAAACTAGAATTTCTGTCCCTAAAATACACATTTTTCACCTGTTCTGAACGATTAGGGAATAAAGTGAAAGTGTATTTACCTGGTCTTGGCTCATATTTAGTTCAGCCTTGCAGCTTTTCAGTTGACGGTGTAATTCATCACGCTCTATACACTGTCTGTAGACACACACACACACACATTTCAGCCCACATACGCAACTGAAGTAACAAGTCAGTCAGTTTGAGTGTTTGTACCTGTTTATTTGGTTTTGCTGATCTCTGACCTGCTCTCTCAAACACTCTACTCTTCCTTTCAGACGCTCCATCTCTCCTCTCATCCCTTCCTTGTCTTCTCTTAACCTTTCCAACTCTTGCAGCAGGGGCTTTGAGCTGCTCCTCTCATCTTCTGGCAACCTGACAGAGAGGGATGAATTTACAGACAGACCACTAAAGTCACTGGATGTGCTGATGTGTTTGTGTACCTGTGGTCAGGGAGCCGTTGTATTATTTTCTCACTCTGGTGTTTCTGATGGACGGGCTGCCACGCTTCCACTGTAGCAGGCTCTGTCCAGCCAAACCCCTCCTCACTGAATTTAGAAGGGGGCAGAGCTCTAAACTGTGGCAGAACTTGTGTGTGTGTGGTCTGTGAAGCTGTGGGCCGGGCTATCGGACCCCCAGTAAACTGAGCAGGTGTCATCAGAGGAGGAGTGCGGTTACAGACAGATGCTGGGAGACAAATAGAAAGACTGATATTCATGTAATAAACACATAAAGACTGAAATAAAGGCAGGACCTTCAAATCTCTATTCTGAGAGTGTGTCCCCTGAGCATCTGGATTTTTTTCTTTACATTGACAACATTACAGTGCCTCACATACGACACAATTTAACAGTACTGCTCATTATCTACTTTTAAGTTTGTTATAATTTTTAACCACCTTTTAGCTGTCACTAGTTCACTTTTAGAAGTACAAACAGTCCATGCAGTGTTGGGAAGGTTAATTTGGAAAATGTAATAGGTTACAGATTACAAGTTACTCTATTCAAAATGTAATGAGTAGTGTAACTTTATTTTATATTTATTGAAGTAATGTAACTGTAATGTTTTCAACTGTTAATCATTTTGAATTTTTTTTTAAAGCAGGCAGGGTTAACCTTACAGTAGTACTCAACACTGATTACTGTCAGACTTTCAAAATCCTTCATCACTTGAATTAAGATTATAATAATTTAACTTGAAAGCACAGCCACCACAAAATCAGACTTTAGCACTTTTTACATTGAGATCGTTCTGAGGTTAAGTAATACACATTTAAAATCATAACAAGAAATATAGCTATGACATAGCTATGATACTGTTTTTAAAATCAAATCTTTGCATAGCTATGACAGGAAACAACAGGCATCTAACAATGCCATAGGGGAAAAAAACAGTTAATCTTAAAAAATAAAACGTATACATAAACCCAAATAGGAAGTAAAACAGTTATTGAATAAGCATTTGTCCTATTCTGTGTCCTAAACTCCTGAGGGTCATTCCGTGTCAAATCAACCAAATTTCAAAAATCTCCCGGGCTCAAATTTTTGATTTTGCTGATATTTTTTTCTGAAGAAAGACAGACATGTATAGTGATGTAAGCCAAAATATTAAATGTCATGGATGAATATTGACTGAATAAGTTAATCCACTATTTTGTAGATGGGGGTCAAAATGGCAATTTTCACCTGAGATTCAGAGCTAAATTACAAGGGGTAAAAATGACTTCAGAAAGATGGCAGCATCATAATGTTATTTTCACAGAGATTGGTAGGTCTGTTAGTAAAATCTGTTCACTTTAGCAATCTTTGTTGCATTATGTGCCAATGGTGAGCATTCAAAAATGATCTGTTCACTTTAGCAATCTTTGTTGCATTATGTGCCAATGGTGAGCATTCAAAAATGGGGAAACAGCACTTTTCAAGTTTTTTCTCCAAAGTTTACATGCCTGTAACTCAACAAGAAGTATTAAAGATATCTTAATGCCCTTTTAGATATTGGGTCTTAACAAACTTTCCTTTTGGCATCTTCATTTTTAAGGCCCTAACGTTATTCAGTTCCAGAGATATTGGAATTTCAATATGGCTCCAAGAGTAAATTGTTAAAATGTACACATTTTCAATAGTCAAAAACCCAAAATGTGGGTCAATTTGCAAAACATATATTTCTTTCAGCAGTTACGATAATATACAAGAACTTAAATGCTGTTTAAATGCCGTTAGATGAATCTATTATATCACAATGCAGTTGATTCTGTTTGTTTACCTCCATCAGGAGCTTTCACGAAGTCCGCCGGCGCGTTCAGCCTTTCTGCTTTCCACATAACGTTATCCATAATAACCACTAAAAGCCCAGTATTACAAAATCGGCCTCACATTAATGTGTAAAATGTTTAAATCTTAATGTTCTGAATTATTATTTCACGTCAGTTTTAGAAAGTGCGCGTCCTGCCCGCCGTTCAGTTGTCATGGCAGAGATTTCCGGTCGGAGCGAGGCACTACAGCGCCCCCTGCAGTCTCCACTTTATCACCCTATTGACACATTTACACCTAAAAACTCAAAAATCATTTGAATCAATTGTCTTTAACCTTCGGTGTTGCTCGCCTGGCTCATCTTAATGTTAGAGCTTTGTGCATTTGAAATATTAGAAAAAGAAATAGAAACTAGAAAATAATCTGCTGAGGAGCTCAGTGACCACTTTTGTTTATTCCTGAAACCTAACCAGTCATGTTTTAAACTAAAGTTAGAGACATAATTTTTACATCCAGAGCATCCAACATTATTCTTAAGTTCTATGTTAGAGTTATTTTTAATAGATGAATATGCTACATATCATGTCTACAAACAACTAACCCTTCATGACGTGTTTAGTAAAGGTTTTTATGCTGCAAATATCCAGACCTTTTGCGCTGTTTAGCATTGATCTCTGTCATTTGTTCTGGGTGGATGTGTTTGTTCTGTCATTGATTCTTTGTGTGAATGAAGGCTTTGATCAGGCCACTGTAGAACACTGACCTTCTTGTTCATGACCCAGAAAATGTCACAGTTGCATTCATGGTTCATAAAAGTGATTTTGTAGGACAAATGTTTTTTTTTATTATCAAATATAAAGACAAAAATAATAATTCTGAGATCTAGTATTCTTCAATAAAGCAACTGAATAAAATGTAAACAAAAATTGTATTTCTTGAATTTTAATAAAATGTGCAGCTGTCAATGATAGCAGTGCTAAAGATTAGGAAGGTTTATTTCATATCCAAATATAAATGCAATAAACATAGTAAATGAAACAACTGACATCTTGTAAATAGAATAAAAACATCTTGGTTTTTATGTACAGTCCAATACATTAAAATACATACACTCACACACTTTTGGAAATAAGAAGACATTGCAGGACTGAAAATTAAAATCAAAGTGGGACAAATGACCAACTGTGTGTAAAACACATAAAAGACGCTTCCTTTCCAATCCTGACCAAAAACTCCATGCAGAAATGTATTTACCAGGCATTAAACCACCATGGTTACATTTACTAAGATTTCTCACCAAAGACAATCATCATAATTCACTCTGATTAACAAGCCTAACTTCCTAAACAACCCACAACCTCAATGAACTACACAAAGGGGAAAGATTATAGAATTTTTCACAGTGGAGCTTTTCCAAAATGAAAGTTAATAAAACATCAGTGATTCTCTCAGGACAGATGCAATGTGAATGAAACGGTAGGTTGGATACCAAACATAAAAACATTAAGTTAAATATAAATCAGCAATGATTCACATTACATTACACATTTTGTGTAAAACAAAATAATACATATAATTATATATTTTTTAAAGATATATAACAATATATTATAATACCTATTTCTAATATTTAAAAAGAAATTGGATATATTCTACAGAAAGAGCTTTTCTTTGAAAATAGGGGGCAATGCCCTCAATGCAGAAATACCTTTGAAATTTGAAGTTGACCAAAAACAATAAAAAATAAAAATAAATCCAGAAATTAATTTAACTCTTTTGAGGGAGGGGTGGGATTTCTAAGTTTTAGCCAATCAGTACAAGTGCTTAGAGCTCTCCGAGGACCTATAAATAAAAAAAAATCAGCCACTCAGTTAAGTGAGGAATATCATCACAATATGAGGCTTAACCTACTTCTGAGAAGTGAAACATTGTGATTGATGAATTAAAAAAAAGAGAGAGAAAGAAAGGTACTGTGAAAAAAAACAGACACTGCAAGTCTAAACCCTTTAAGGAAAGTTGAGTTATAAATGTTAGATTTAAATCACCCTTTATAAAGTCATTTACAATTGATTGTCTTTACAAAATTACCTAAAAATCAAAACTGCTCCAGGAGTAAAAAAAAAAAAAAAACCAGCTATATTTAAAACTCCATTACAAAAGAGCATGAATAGATAAGTCTGATCTCATGCTGAAAATGTTTGTGTGTCGCCCTGTGGGCTGTTATATGTACAGATGGAAAGTTATGGTGTGTTTTCAGGAGGGAAAGATACGCAGCACCATCATGTGCATTTAGTTCATGGAGTGAAATCAGATGAGGAAAACATGTCACCGCTCTCATGTATCCATCTCAGAACATGGAGACATTAAGGACCTGTTAGACAACACACACAGAGTCACTTTAGAATGATGTTTTAAACTTTATAGGTTTTTGTTTTGTTATATATGTGACCCTGGACCACAAAACCAGTCATAAGGGTCAATTTCTCGAAATTGCGATTTATACATCATCTGAAAGCTGAATAAATAAGCTTTCCATTGATGTATGGTATGTTATGAGATACAACTATTTGAAAATCTGGATATTGAGAAAATCGCCTTTAAAGTTGTCCAAATGAAGTTCTTAGCAATGCATATTACTAATCAAAAATTAGGTTTTGATATATTTACGGTAGGAAATTTACAAAATATCTTCATGGAACACGATCTTTACTTAATATTCTAATGATTTTTGACAAAGAAAAATCGATAATTTTGACACATACAATGTTTTTTTGGCTATTGCTAAAAATATACCCAAGCTACTTAAGACTGGTTTTGCGGTCCAGGCTCACAAATCGTTATTGGCATGAATGGGTCTTTAGTGCTGTGTTCTTCCTTAGCATCTCGTCTGTCAATTCACAGTGACGAGTAAATTGACAGAGAGAACAATCAAACAAATTAGATTTTTGAAGTTCTGTGAAAAAATAAAATTAAACGTAAAAACTGCGCGGGTGCTTTACTGGCACAAGATAAAAAAAAGCACATAATCCTCTGGTTCCTCCTTTAATGTAAATCTAAGGGATTTCTAACAAGCACATCTAATGAATAAATTATAAAGTGGATTAATAAATGAATGAATAAACAGGCAGATGAAAGAAGGCTTACAGAGTCATCCATGATGGAGGCAGGGTCAAAGTAGTCTGGTTTCAGCTCTGATCTCTCCCTGCGGTTTTTGGATGGAGGCTTCAGAAAAACAAAAAAGGTCAAGTTAAAAACAATGACACACAAAATGTGTTTTCTCTCGACCTCGCAGCCGAAGGAAACCAGATTAGATGGATTATGTGAAGATCTGAGCAACGCTATCATTGTGACTCTGCACCTGATTGAGTGACAGCGAATCTTTGCGTTAGAAAGGGTTTTCACTGGTTGATATTATGCTTTCCTGAATTCTGATTCCTACCAGATCAATGTCCATGGTGTCGAAGTCCATGCCCTCGTTAAGGTCGTCCAGTCGTTCCTCTGATGACATCATCACATCCTCTACAATCGGTTCCTCATCATCCTCCATCAGCCCACTGCCACGCCGACTGGCAAACAAGCAAATGTTTAAAAAATTCAATATGAGTGCAAGAATGCAAATGACCATGTGAGATTGTGAGGCCTGGTGACCACAATCAAAAATGTTCAAATCTCGTTACTGTGGCAGCCCTATTCAAAAACCATAAAACGGAGCAATGCTACTTTGTCAACAAAATAGCATTAAAATGCAAAAGGTGAAATTATATCAAATCACAAGTAATTGATAATCAGGCCAGAAAATCCATAAAGGTGCATCACTATGTGTATATACACTACCGTTCAAAAGTCGGTAGGATTTTTTAAATGTTATTGAAACAAACCGCTTACACTCAGCAAGTCAGCATTTACTTGATGAAAAATACAGTAATATTAAAAAATATATAGTAAACAATTTTTCTATTTGAATATATTTTAAATGATTAGCAGCGATTTTTTTCATTCTTCAGTGTCACGTGATACTTTTAATACACTCATTTGACACTCAAGAAACATTTGTTGTTATTATAAATGTCGAAAACGGCTTAATATTTTTGGTGTAAACAGTTATACACGTTTTTAAGGATTCTTTGATGAATAGAAAGTTCAAAAGAACAACATTTATTTGAAATAGAAATCCTTTGTAACATTATAAATGTCTTCACTATCACGTTTGATCAATTTACTGCATCGTTGCTGAAAAAAATTAATTTCCATATAAAAAAAAAAAAAATCATACTGATCCCAATATATGTATGTAAATGTATACTAACATGGTGTGCTGAATGTGGCCTCTCATCTTGCCGTACTGCAGGCTTGCTCTTTCCTGCTGCTGTTTCTGGGCCATCATCCACGCGACCTGAGAACTGAAAACAAAACAGCTCGCAATCAACTTTTTACTAATGAGAGTGTGTGTGTGTGTTAAAATTTTAGTGTTCGTGTGCTTACTTGTAGTCCATGTGTTGGTGCTGCGGCTGCAGAGGTGTGTGTGGCGTTTCGTTGCTCATGCTGTAAACTCCCATGTACCCCTGCTCAGGGCGGAGCTTCTTTGCATCCCGCATGACAGTAGAGACGATGTGGGGTGATGACATCATTACAGGAGTGTGCGGGCCACTCTGCTCACGATTTACCCACATGCTCACATCACTGCTGCTACAGCTACTGTCCTCTGAGAAAAGACATAGAGAGAAGACAATGAAACAGGAAGTCAGTTTTACCCTAAAGATTATAGATTAATCTATAAAGATTATAATTAATCATATAATTACGATTCAATGCATATGTACCCTCGGGTAGTTTTCTCTTGTTGGCGGCAGGTGGTTTGCTCCTGCGAATGCGGGCGGAGCTCCTGCTGCTCATACCGCTGATGACAGACAGAGTGTCATCATCAGCGCCTGCCTGCAGAGAGTTACGGTAGGAGATGAGCAGTAACCAGCAGTCGTCCCTCTGCAGGGCCATCTGAAAGGTCATAAACCGCTCTAGATACAGGTGTCTGATGGGAGAGATCAGAGGTCAAACAAAAAACACAAATATACTTCATTAGAGTGACTAGTGATAATTTAAAAGAAAGTACACCATTAACCTTCAGAGACCCAGTGTAACAGAATTTCAACATTTGTATATTTTACAAATACGGGTAAAAACTACACATAACAGCAGCTGACACTGAAATTTATCACAACAACAGCTTTGTTGGGGAAAAAATGCATATTATCTGCCAGAGTCACAAAAAATGCCGCCAACATGCTGACACAGTTAACACTTTTCAAACCAATTTATCTATTTAGAAAGTTAATTTTTTTATTTATGTGTCTAGTGACGGGAAAAGGCTTACATGCCCTGAAAATTTAAACATACATAAATTTAAAAACATTGTTCAAAGCATAGCAAAAATGCAATGCTTGCATTAGGTGTCAAACTTTTTTCTACTGTTTTTACACAATGAAGCCTTTTTAATGAATGGTACAAAACAAATCAGCTGTTTTCTGAGCTGTTTTGTCATTAATTTCTCATTGACAACAAAAACATGTTTTTTAAATATTTTAATTTATATACAGTATTTTAGTCAAATTTACTGGTTCAAATGTATTATTTTTCAAATACATTTGTGTGCTGGTTTTCACTTTAGTAAAAAAAAAAAAAATGGGGAAATTTAGCAAAATGGCCAGTGTTTTGCAACCTTTATCCATATTACAATGCAAATAGTGCCTAAATGAAATGGTTTTTACAACTAATGGCTTCCTAAAAATACTGCAACATGAATATAAATACTTGGGTCTCTGAGGGATCTGAGACAGCAGGGATTCTCAATGTGAGTGTCTTACACGGTCTTCTTGTCCTGCCTCAGTAGTTTGGAGGAAAACTCACTGAGGATGTCAAGGAATGCGAGGTTGAGAGGAGGGCCGCCCTCCCCCTGTGGACTGGGTTCTTTAAAGGCAAATTCTATTCCATCCCTAAACACAGAAAACACACACTCTGTGACTCTGTCTCAAAGGCATATATTTGCCCCTTTTTTCCACTGAAATGGTTCTAATTTTAATGCTGGTGCCAGAATTCAATTCTGATATGATAGTTTTAAATACATAAAATACAGTTTTACACAAACAGGATAAAGAAAGTGGCTGGAGCTCCCATCCAACGATTCGAGATCAAAAACCAGAACACAGCTGGGACTTTACAGCAACTGTGTTTAAATGTTCTTACTTGTGGAGCATTGCAATGGCCTCTCTGGTTTTGATTTGATCGAGTCCAAACGTGAGTGAGAAGCGTCGGGCCAGTTCTTTAATCCCAAAGAATGCTGATGCGGACCGATCGAAGTTACAGCCCAGATCATTCAGCATCTCATTAAACAGCTGAAACACAAACATCACACTTCTGTTATTCAGTGTAGCTGGGAGAGCTGGTCTGAGTAAGGAGAGAAGTGTTGCCTCACCTGCTGCAAGCTGAGGATCAGAGTCTTGGCACACTGAATCTTGTCGATCTGACGTGCTTTACTCATGGTCTCCTTAATGATATCACCGTAATCATTATAGTACTACACACAGACAGAGACAGGGAGTCAATGTAAGCATCAAGTAACAAACACAGAGGAATGTTACAACATAAATGAGACTCACTCTCATGTATTGTTTGAAGATATCTGCTCCTGTCTTCATCTCTACCACATTGTAGATGATTAATTTGCAGAAGGCGGCCAGTAAATTCCTGCGTCTGTGGAGCGCCTCAATCTTACCAGCCTCGTCATCTGCAAAACACAACCAAAAATGAATTGAATGAATTTGACTGGATAGTAAAAAAAAAAGCAGTCAACAATTGTGCAGAATATAATAATGATAATAATTGTAATAATAATATACTGTTAAAAAAAAGAAAGTAATTTAATGACCAAACTTTTGACTGGTAGTGTGTTAAGTTTTTCACAAATTTTTTATTTAATAGATTACTTCTCATCATAAAAGGTGCAGCATCTCATTTCTGTTCCAACAGCAGCATTGTTTCCTAAGAGGTTTCTTAAAGGCATAGTTCACCCAAAAATGAAAATTCTGTCATAATTTTCTCACCCTCATGTCATTTCAAACCCATAAGATTTTGGTTAATTTTCAAAACACAAATTAAGATGGTTTAAATGAAACCTGAGCAGTTTCTGTCCCTCCACTGAAAGTCCAGGTAACCAAAATTTAGAAGGTCTAAAAAGGTAACGGAGGCATCATAAAACAAATCCATATGTATCAAATTCAAACAGTGTTTGATAAAACAGCAGTCCCACTCCAAACTCAAACCATTTGATGAGCCATATTGCTATGTCAGGCTGCTGAAACATTAATGTTCTCTTATCCAGTCAAGATCATTGAATAGTTTTTTTCTTCTTCTTAAAAACATTGTTGCTTGATTAATATTCCTTAATTATGAATTTATGTAAGTAAATGTCCTCTAAATGCATCTGGGGAACAAAAATTGTAAAAGCAATGTGCTCCATTTTATGCCATTACTGGTCATTAAGTTGGTTCTAGGGTTGTGACGGTGAGGAAATTTTTCCACCGGTTAATCGACGTGTGATAACACCAATAACACCGTTATCACCGCACGCTGCATTGAGCAGCCGTGTTCAGTTTTTAATTGTAGTGACTGTTCTTTTACTGAACTAAATGATTTTTATTACTATAAAAAAATCTAAACGACGGTGGGGGTCGGTGCCGCGGTGGGCAAGTGACGTAACCGGTGTTGCAGCTTAACAACGGTATCACCGTCAGCACCGTCTATCGCGGCAAGCCTAGTTGGTTCAGAACAACATTTCACTGCAGAAGAGCATGTATAAGGCATGCAACCCGGCCAGTGAACTAAAATGAGTTGAGCCCCTGGATCAGTAGTCAGTACCTGCTCAGGCATATCTCCGTTTTGCAGGCCAGAGTTCAAAAGTTTGTAGTTGCTGGTGAAAAGGTCCCATTTAGTGAGGTCATGGGCACTGCAAGGAGCACAATCACAGGCACACACACATGTGTTATGATGAAGAAAGTCCACTGGTCTATGAATGTGAACCTCACAAAACATGTACAGATGTATTTATTTAACTCCAAAATGGTTTTTTTAAATCTGTTTTAGGACCTTTGGAATTTCTCAGTTTTAGCGAAAAGTGTGTTCTTACTTGTGGAAGGCTGTGATTCTTTTGAGTGTTGACAAAACTTGATAGGCATCATCTTCATCAGGCTCCTCTCCCTTAAAGAAACAAAACCGTTAAAAGTTGAAACTGGTGAAATCACAAAGAACAGTTACAGAGAAAATTACCACACACACCTCCTGCAGGACATCCTCCAACAGACGGTGGAACTTGTCAATCTGTTCATCAATCATCTGGCTGCGGACAATATCTACACGGTTATAGATGGTGAATTCCTCATTGCACAGTGCATGGAATGTCATGGAACATGCCTCTAATACATCTGTGTCTGTGTGCTTTTCCACCACATCACGGACCTGGCGCAGCAAAGCATCCAGATGCTGCAGGACATCAGCGCAAGAATTACTTATAGAACTACTACAACAAAACATTAACTATCTATCATTTCTTGACTTTGTGTATTGATTCAAAAATATGTTACTACTATTGTAAACTTTCTTCATGTTAAAAGTGACTTTTATTTTATAAGCACAATATTTAGTGTACTACGTGGTACTTTTTTTTTTTTTTTGTATGTTAGTTACATCCAAACATGCAGTGTAGCTGAACATACTTTTAGAACAATCAAATGCCAGATGCATAAAAAACAGAAAGTCCTTTAGGAAAGTTCTTGAAATATTCTTAAACATTTTCTTAAGAATATGTCATTTTATTTAAGAATAAAATGACAGGCTTTAATGTTGTCTGGTTGTATACTAGCATACTCATGAGGTTGCCTTGTGTAATACAATCAATTCAGTACTTCAACACTACTCAATATTTAGTGTACTTTATTCTGTTTTTTTTTTTTTTTTGTATGTTAATAATTACCTTCTCCAGCCGACCGGTTGTGTAGATCTCTAGATCAAAATACTGAGGAAACTGCAACAGATTAGTGACCTTGTCTGGGTCCACTGAATACTGAGAAAGAGAGAGAGAAAGAAGTTTGAAAGAGTTTTTTCAGAAATCACTTGGTTTCCATCCTTATTCAGATTACAATAACTTATTTGGAATATCTGTATGCAGTGAGTTGTGGGCCACTGCTTTATCCCCAAAAAGCCAAACAATATTGCAATGAAATTTTTCTTGCAATCCCAAAAACACACACAAAGTGTTGAGGATTAATGACTGCAATTTAAGGGATATTTACATTTACATAATTTAAATTTGTTTGTTATTCAACTGATGCATTACACACATCTGGAAAGGCACAGAATCACTCACTTTAGCCAGTAACAGAGGCAGAGCCACAGCAAATGTTTCTGTGATCTTTGTTCGATCATCCAGCTGAGTTTTCTTTTCTTTAGCTGTTAGAACCTGTGTCAGAATAAGAAACAGCATACACATTTGAAGCAACATGAAAATGAGGAAATAATGACACAATTTTTATGGGTGGTTTAGAAAATTATTTGATCTATTTCCTTTAACATGATTGACATGATTTTCTGGATTGAAAATATTTGTGTGTGCACGAGTTACAGGTTTGGCTACGGTTTTGTGATAAGCAAAGTTTTGAAAATGTCTTCACAAATATAGTAAAAATGCCAAAAAAAGAACGTGACAACATAAGTGGTCCTCTCTATTTGCAAAGAACAATCGGCCAAATGTGTTTGCTTCAGAGTTGTAATGAAAGAAATAGCAACAGGTTTCTTCCATATTATGATGTACATCAGAGTGATCAGAACAGATTATCGAAAAATAATCAATATAGAACAGGGACTTGGTTCCATCCATCAGGTGGATGGAGGCAGATCTGAATGTGACCATTTAGTCAAGTGTACGAAACATGCATGGTTTAAGTGGACTAAATGATTAGAGAAGTCCAGCATACGTCACCAGAAAAACGCAAGAAAATTTTTTTTTAAAAGGGTCCTATTATGCTTTTTCACTTTTTTAATTTTAGTCAGTGTGTAGAAATCAAGACTTTGTAAAAGACCATAATAGGACCCCTTTAAATGAACCACATGCATGGACAAGTCATTCACCATAAGATCAATAACAGATTTCGAAAATAGATAGGGTGAATTTTTATTTCATGCCAAAATGTTATCCAGTAATAACTTTTTGGATTAGGTTCAGGGCCAGGAGCTTAAAAAAAATATCACCTCCGTGTAAAAACGTTTGCATCTATGAGACATCCTCACTAATATGGCGAAACCAAAATGTTGATTGTGTGTGTGCGTGCGTGTGTGGGTCTCACCCTTTTGCCAGGGCCTCGTCCGATGGGTGGGTGACACTCACAAGTCTGTCTGACAGCACAAAGCATGATCTCAATCAGAGCAGCTTCCTGAGCATCAGTGAGCGCTGAAACACACAAATCATGGTGTTTAAGTAGTTTAGGTAAGAATGATTTTTAGCCCAATTTTGATCCTGACACAAAAAAACTGACAGCCATGTACCCTCCTCTCCAGGGTAAGGTTCATCCAGCAGCAGGCTGATCATACTCTCCCAGTCCTTCAGCAGCTCTGACGCACAATCCCACAAGCTGTCCACCAGGTAGGCACCGTGCTCATGCAGCTAAAACACACAAACTTTCATGATATCTTAAAAAGCCAACCTACTGTCTCACAGTTTGTTCAGTTACTATTCAATTCAGAGGAATAAATTAGGCTAAATTCTTATTTTCCCTACTTTTTAAAATAATCTAACTGCCTTTGTCACAATTTGTTCTCATACAATGCGCTGGAATCTCAGAGAAGGAAAATAGACACGTGAAATACTAGGACCTGCTCAGTCAAAATATTTCTATAACGAGACATTAAGAAGTGACATAGCACGCTGAGCACATCAAGCACACCTCACTCTCAAGAAAGAACAAGACAGTCGTTCTGATGAGGTTAGCATTCAAACACTGTCTGCCTCTCCTGGGCCGCCCCTCATCCTCTGGACCATGATGACTGAATAACCTGGGAACACAGCACCAGCATACATGCACAGTCTTAAGGGGAATCAGTCAGTCATGGTGAGTATCCGATGCATTATGGATAAGTAGTAATGTGGCAAATGTGTTTAATTACACTGGTATTTAATGAAGCACAGACTTGCCATGATACAAAAAAGTGTGACATTTACTTTTTGTAGAGAAACTCCCCTGCTGCCACGGCAACCGGTCGGTGGGCGGAGTAAACCAAGTGATAGACGCTCTCACAGTCTTCTGCCGTCAAAACCTCGTCATTACTCCTGTGTGCATAAGCAAACACAATCACATAGTAAAAGGACACCTCTAAAAGAAAAGAAAGACTGAATGCTGAACTCACTGCAGGACCAGCGTCAGCAACTTAATGGCCTGAACGGCAACATCATATTCCTTATCCAAAGTCATGGACACAATTCGATCCTACAGAGACAAAGAATGAGAGAACTGTCGGTAGGAAAATACATTTTTCAGTGATAAATAGGAATCCACGCTTAGAGACGGTGTTGCCATAGCAAGAGTCCTGGTGAAAAACTCACCTTGAAGCGGCTGGTGAAGAGTTCCAGTCTGGCATTGAGTTCTCTACTATAATACAAACCCTGAAGAGCAGTAAGACACTTCAGACGAACCTCACCTTGCTGGGGAATGAAAAATTATGTAAATGGATGAGACGTGAGATGTGGTAGGTTTGACCTGTATATAACAACCAATCTGTGTGAATGTGTTTGTGATACCTTATCATACATGGTCCAGCCCACGTACTTCAGGTAACTGTCATTAAGAAAAGCCTCACTGTACATCTTCATCCACATACCAATCTCTTCAATGCAGACAACCCTGATCTCAGCAATCACATCCCTGCACACAAATACAAGAGAAAAAGCAGCTGCTGGATAATTTTAAAATATGAATTTATTGAATCAGTCAGTCAAATTTTGGGATGTTTGCTTACCTGTATCTGTGGATGAATACTCCTTTAAAAATGGCATTCATCATGTTCTCAATCTCATCCTGGTTTTCCTGGAGCTAATAATTACAAAAGGACATGTTTGAATCAAGGTTTTTGAGTATATATATGTGTATGTGTGTGTATGTGTGTGCACGTGTGTGTGTATCACCTCCTTGCGTTTTTGCAGCAGGAGCTCCAGGCGTTCATTGGCTCGTTTCCCAATACTCTTGTTGCGTTCTGTCTCGTATTGTCTTTGTGTGTTGTCCAAATTAATGCTCAAATTCAGAGCAACATTCACCAAAGCGGTCATCAGTTTCATGGCTGAAATACAGCGGAAGAAAAGGTCAGTGTATAATTCATACCTTTATCAATAAGAACACACTGATGGAAAACTGCATGACAAAATTCATGACACAACAATATGTTTATGCAGTAGAAGTAGTGTGGTAGTTGGGGTGGGCGATACACCGGTTGGCAAGATTAACCGTTTTCAAATATCATCTTTATCGCGGTCACTCACATGGCATTGCTGTGCTACGTGGTCATGAAAACGTATCGTTTGCATATGTTTTTAAGCATTGCAGTTTAAAACAAGTGATTTTAAGCCGCTGAAGGCGCAATCAGCAGCGAAAGAGAGCTCATTTAGGTGTATGTGCGTGCTGTCAGAGAGGCGTGCGCACGTGAAGACAGTTAAGTTAGAGGTTAAATACACACACAATGTATGTGTCAAAATGCCCATTTTTGCAAGTATCCTCGTAAACACAGTAATTTAGGTCTTAAGTGAAAGCAAACAGCTGAGAAAGAAAACACATGTGTAGCAGTATATTGGATCCAGGCAGCTCTGAAAGTGACCGCAGTCTAATATTCCTGCTGTCTGATCCATGAGCTGCTGTCAAACAACAAAAGAGAAAATCTCTCACTGCTCGTCTAAATCACTTTTGTAACTTTAATAATAAGAAATATATATTTAATTTACACTGTGAAGAATATGCAGTGTTTTTATACATTTGATAACTTTATACAATGAATGTAGCTTATTTCTTATTTATTTATAATTTAGGCTAGTATTAGCCTGGTGACAAGAATTATGAAATCTCTATGGTATCAAAAATTTTGATATCATAAAGACCTTGTTTAACTATATCATGATTAGGGTTGCAAAGGGGGCGGAAAATTTCTGGTAAATTTCCGGAAACTTTCCATGGGAACTTCATCTGGGGAATTTTGGAAATATTCCAAGTTTGAAACTTACTGGGAATTTATAGGAATTTACGGGAATTTTGGGGAATTAATTGGAAATTTGGGGAAACTTATAAAACTGTATCATATACAAACAAATATAAACATTTTGCTTGATCATAGGCTCACATGCATGCAAACTAATACAAAGTTAAAAAATGACATTTTTTCAGGATTTATTGATAAATAAAAACTTATGAACAGTGTTCATTCAAAATAGAAATATTTTCTAACAATATAAGTCTTTACTTTACTACTTTACTATTGAATAAAAGTATTAATTTATAAAAAAAAAAAGGAAAAGATACTGACCCCAAACTTTTGAATGGTAGTGTATTGTTAAAAAAGGATTTCTAATTTAAATAAATGCTGTTCTTTTTTTTTTTTTTTCAAAGAATCCTGAAAAAAGAATCACAGGTAATAAAAAAAAATATATAAGCAGCACAACTGTTTCCAAAATTAATAATAAATCAGAATATTAGAATGATTTCTGAAGAATCATGTGACACTGAAGACTGGAGTAATGATGTAAAATTCAGCTTTGCATCACAGATATACATTGTTTTAAAGTATATTAAAACAGAAAACCATTATTTTAAATTGTAATACTGGTAATACTGCCCAATATTACTGTTTTGTTCTGCATTTTTGATCAAATAAATGAAGCCTTGATGGCCAAAAGATATGCAATGTTTAAAAACATTAAAGGGGTCATATGATGCGATTTCAAGTTTTCCTTTCTCTTTGGAGTGTTACAAGCTCTTGGTGCATAAAGAAGATCTGTAAAGTTGCAAAGACTAAAGTCTCAAATCCAAAGAGATATTCTTTATAAAAGTTAAGAGTCAACCACGCCTGCCTAAAACGGCTCGTTCTAACACGCCCCCACACTGTAAACCCGAACAGTACTACTAACTTATAAAGATTAAGAACACTGCAATTAAAGTCTGTTAAATCGTTGATGCAACTTATA